CCAATACTATACAAAACAGGAAGGGTGAGAATAGGCATCCTTGTCTTGTTCTGCTTTTCAGGAAAAATGGTTCCAATTTCTGTCTGTTTAGCAATATGTTGACTGTGGATTTCTCATAGAAAGCTCTTACTATTTTGAGGTATATTCCACCTATGTTTAGCTGTTTGAGGGTTTTTATCAAGAAAAGATGCTGGGCTTTATGGAAAGCTTTTTCCACATCTAATGATAAAATCCCGTGGGTTTTGTTTTTACCTCTGTAGATGTATTTAATTACATTTATGTTCTTGCAGATGTTGAACCAGCCCTTCATTCCAGGAATGAAGTCTACATGGTCATGGTGGATGGTCTTTGAGATATATTGTTGGATCTGGTTTACTAGGATATTGCTGAGAATTTTAGCATCTATGTTCCTCAAGAATACTGGCCTGTGGTTCTTTTTCTTTGTTGGGTCTTTACCTGGTCTGGGTATCAATGTGATATTAGCTTCATAAAATGATTTGAAAAGAGTTCCATCTTTCTCTATTGCCTGAAATACTTTAAATAGGATTGGTATCAGGTCCTCCCTGTACTTTTTATAGAACTCTGTTGGAAAGCCATCCAGTCCAGGGTTTTTTTTTGTTTTTTGTTTTTGTTTTTTGGTAAATAGATTTTGTAAGACATAGTTGATTTCCTGGGTTGTTATTGGTTGATTTAGGGTCTCAATTTCTTCTTGTTTCAACCTGGGAAGGTTGTGCAATATCAGAAAGTCCTCCATTTCATTTAGGTTTTCAAGTTTGTCTCCATACAAGTGTACATTGTAATCTCTGAAAAATTTTTGTATTTCTTTGAGGTCTGTTGTGACTTAATCTTTTGCATTTCAGATTGTGTTTATTTGGACTTTTTCTCTCTTGTTCTTGATTAGTCTAGTAGGGTTCATCAATCTTGTTTATCCTTCCAAATAACCAACTTTTTGTTTCATTGCTTTTTTTTGTATTATATTTTTTTTAATTTTTTTATTTTTTAAATTTATTTATTTTTTATTATGAAGTTGTAGGGTACAGTTAAGGGCTAAGTATACAATTGCGTTTCATTCAGGCACCCTGTTGATATGGGGTGTTTCCCCATTTCCAGACAGACATTTGCTACTGTTAATCACATCTCCCTGCCTCCCCATAGTTTCCCAGTACTGTCAGTCATTTTCTTATAGTATTGCATAGGATGTTTAAGGTCCATTATATGAGTGAGAACATGTGATACTCGGATCTTTGTTTCTGTGAGAGGTCACTCAGTATTATAGACTCTAGTTCCATCCAGGTTGCTGCGAAATTCATGATTTTGTTCTTTTTTATGGCTGCATAGTATTCCATTGTGTATATGTACCACATTTTTTTAATCCAGTCCTCTTTTGATGGGCAGCATGGCTGTTTCCAGGTTCTTGCTATTGTGAACAACGCTGCGATAAACATGCGTGTGCAGGTATCTTTTTTATAGAGTGATTTGTGTTCTTCAGGATATATTCCCAGTAGGGGGATTGGGGGATCATATGGGAGGTTGGTATTTAGAGCTTTTAGGAATCGCCACACTGCTTTCCACAGAGGTTGCACTAGTTTACACTCCCACCAACAGTGTAGAAGTGTTCCCTTTTCACCACACCCTCTCCAGCAACTGTTATTTTTTGACTTGTTGATAATTGCCATTCTGACTGGGGTTAGGTGGTATCTCAGTGTGGTTTTGATTTGCATCTCCCTGATGATTAGTGAGGTTGAACATTTCTTCCTGTGTTTGTTGGCTGCTCAGATGTCTTCCTTTGTGAAGTGTCTGTTCATATCTTTTGCCCATTTTATAATGGGGTTGTTTGTTTTTTTCTTTTCAGCACGTTGGAGTTCCTTGTAGATCCAGGATGTTAAGCCTTTGTCGGACCTGGAGTTGGCAAATACTTTTTCCCAGTCTGTAGGCTGTCTCCCTGCTCTCTTGATGGTTTCTTTGGCTTTGCAGAAGCTTGTCAGTTTAATAAGGTCCCACTTGTCTATTTTCTCTCTTATGAGCTGTGGGTTTTGGGTTTTGTTCAGGAATTGGATGCCAGTTCCGATTTCTATGAGGGTATTTCCTTCATTTTCTAAGGTTCTTATGGTTTGAGGTTTTACATTTAGGTCTCTGATCCATTTGGAATTAATCTTTGTGCATGGGGATAGATAGGGGTCCTGTTTCAATCTTCTGCTTGTGGTCAGCCAGTTTTCCCAGCACCATTTACTGAATAGGTTCTCCTCTCCCCAGTGGTAGGTGATAGAGGCTTTGTCGAAGATGAGTTGGTTGAGAAATTGAGGTTTTGCTTCTGGAATCTCAATTCTATTCCATTGATCTATATGCCTGTTCCTATACCAATACCAAGCTGTTTTGATGATTGTAGCTTTATAGTAAAGTTTGAAGTCTGGTAATGTGATACCACCTGCTTTGTTTTTTTTGCTGAGGATTGTTCTGGCTATTCTTGGACGTTTGTGTTTCCATATGAATTCCTGCTTGTTTTTTCTAGGTCTGAGAAGAATGTTGCTGGTAATTTGATGGGTTAGCGTTGCATATCACTACATCCCCAGAGTGAAAATGTTGAATCCTAAGGAGGAGCTCTACAAAAAAATTTTTTTTAAAGAAAATGTATTCAGAATTTATACCTGAGACAGCTTAAACATGTCAAAGAATATTTACACTGAAAGACACGTTAGGGATCAACTAGTATGTCCCCTCAACCAAGGACAGAAAAGTGATGCTGCTCCCATGGTATTCCATGACATGGGCATGTATTGCATACACATCCTGTTGTGATGCTACAGGGATAAACAAGAAACCACAACTTGCTTCTGAGGGGTTCTGGGGTGTGAGGAAGACTAGGACATTGTACCACTTGCCACCCACAGCCACCCAGATTTAATCACACGGAAAAACACTGTCGAGAAAGCTGACGTTGGAGGATATGTCTTGTTCCTGCTCGACAGAGGGCTTCCTCATACTGATGCCCAGAATTAGACTTGTTCTCTCAGCAGCAGGCAGTTTTGAAAACTGCAGGTCCCCCCCAGTGAGGCAGGCCTCTCGTGGCAGAGAGATCAGTACCACCTTCTTACTGGCATCACTGGCTCTCAGGAGGAAGAAGAGGGACAGGCTCAGAGCCACACCTGCTCAAATCCTCTCCCTAGATCACCAGCCAGAAACCTCCTTATCACTGGAGGAGCAAGTGAAGTGGGGAAGCGTCCTGGGCTTGATGCTAACGGAGGTCCCGCGCATGCAAGGCAACTTCAGGAGTGAGAAGCGATCTCCCTGTACCCCATTAGCTCATTATTAAGCCTGAGGCTTAGTCCTTTTAACCTATTAAGTTTTGAATTCTGCAAGCCTGTAGCTATGGTTATACCCTCAAGGAATTATGAGCAGAAAAGCTCAAAAGGGGGTCAGAATGCATCATTTATTAAATCACGTCCATGGCAATGACCAAGACTGAAAATCCCCCTAGTCTAGTCCCTATCTCAAATTACATGCAGCCATATTGTCTAGTGTGGTCCCTCAGAGGTTTTGTGAAGAGATTAAATGACAATATGAAGACATTCCTTCATGAAATATCACAAATCAGAACAGCTCCAAACTTGAATAGAAATCCCCTCTTATTATAAAATTATTGGGGAGAAATTAAAATCCAAAAATTAATTCCTCTTGTCAGTTACAGTTAAAAGTCAAATGAACTTACCATGTGAGTTAAAGGTCAAGGAATCTAAAGTCCAAAAATCATTCTCATTTCTTACTCTCTCCATCTCAGTCAGCTGGAGACTTCTTTCAACAGCTATGACCTAGGCCAATGCTTTAGTGGGCATAAGAATCACCTGGGTCAGGCGCGGTGGTTCACGCTTATAATCCCAGCACTTTGGGAAGCCAAGTTGAGAGGATTGCCTGAGCCCACAGGTTCAAGACCAGCTTGGGCAACTTGGTGAGACCTCATCTCTACAATAAATTTAAAAATTAGCCAGGCGTGGTGGCACGTGCCTGTAGTTCCAGCTACTTGAAAGGCTGAGGCAGAAGGATCACCTGAGCCCAGCAGGTCGAGACTCCGGTGATCATGAGTGTGCCACTGCACTCCAGCCTGGGCAACAGAGTGAGACTCCAACTTAAAAAAACAAAAAAAAATCACCTGGAGAGACTGTTAACTCCAAGATTCCACACCTCCAGAGTCTGTCTGATTTAGCAGATTTGGGTGGGACCAGGCAATTTGCATTTATGAGAACTCAGGTAATACTGATACTACCAGTCTGTGGATAGTACTTTGAGTAGTGCTGGCCTAAGCCGTCTCTTTAGAATTGGAGCAATTTCTTTCAGCCCCCAAATTGATAGCTCCAAGTGTCTGATCTGCTTTCAAATTAAGAGTTTAGGCCAGACTCAGTGGCTCAAGCTTGTAATCCTGGCACTTTGGGAGGCTGAGGTGAGAGGATTGCCTGAGCCCAGGGGTTCAAGAACAATCTGGGCAACTTGGTGAGACCTCGTCTCTACAATAGACCAAAATAATAATAATAATAATAATAATTAGCCGGGTATGGTAGCACTCACCTGTAGTTCCAGCTACTTGGAAGGCTGAGCATAAGGATTGCCTGAACCCAACAGGTCGACACTGGGGTGGCCATGAACATGCCACTACACTCCAGTCTGGGTGACAGAGTGAGACTCCAACTCAAAAAAAAAAAAAAAAAATTAAGAGTCTAAAGAGTTAAATGAATGATGGCTAATATTAGCTAGGCATTCCCAAGGATTCTGTCCATACTACATCATAAAAAAATTCTCTTCTTTCCTTGCTCTGCATCACATAATTTCCTGTTTTGGGGGGGGTAGAGCAGAGTAGGGTAGGCAGGAGGCACACTTCCAGAGACACAGATGCAGAAAGGCACAACATCCAGAGACAGCCATTTCAGAAAATCAGCCCATTCCGAGAGCAATGCTAATTCCTCTTCTCCTGTGGTGGTGCAGGTATGCCAGACTTCAGGAATGGGAGGAATTTTACATCTTTTCCAATAAAGCTAAAAATCTAGTGCCAAGAAAAACCCCATCAGTTACTTACTATGAAGGAATCTCCAGGTACATGGAAGGGCAAGTTCTTCATCTTCAGAAGCAAATTGAACAACAGTTTGAGATTGCCCAGGACAGTGGAGTTGCACTGCTCAAGGTGAGGCCCGGTCCCTGGTTTCCAGTATAAACCACTCCTTATGTGAATTTCTATTTACTTGCCATGCTAACGATTGTCTGATGACAGAATTTCTAGTTGCTTACAACAGAAGTTTTCGAAGGCACCCCCCAAAACTTAGAAAGAAGAAAATATATGGCCCATAACCTTACTATAACCTTACTATTCAGCAATAACTAATTATATATATTGTGACATCACTTTCAAGTCTTTTCTATGCGTGTACATGCACATTTCCACTTTTTGTAACTTGCTATTAAATATATTATGCATAATTTTCAGTTGTTTTCACCCCACTATTTACAGTATTTTGTGTTATGGGTATACTATTATAGAGCCCAGTTACTCTTGGCTAGAGCTTTTCTGCATTATTTTACTGCTATTGCTGTGATAAGCATCCTAGTAAATAAATCTTTGTACAGGATGATTTTTTAAAATTTGCTAAGCTATATTAAGCACCAGACACTAGGTGCTGGGGTACAAGAGTGGGAAAATGAGATCTGCTACCCACCTCCAAGCGTTTACTTATTTCCATCATTTTGCTATTTGTTTTCTATATGTCTCATAGCTTCCCTCCATTTTCTGCATTACTGTCTTCTTTTGTGTCTGGCTGATTTTTTTTTTTTTTTGAGTTGGAGTCTCACTCTGTTGCCCAGCCTGGAGTGCAGTGGCTGCTCCTGGCCACTGCAGCCTCGACCTGCTGGGGCTCCGGCAGGCCATCCTTCCACCTCAGCCTTCGAAGTAGCCGGAATTACAGGTGCGTGCTACCATGCCCAGCTAATTTTTTTTTTTTTTCATGTATTGTAGAGATGAAGTCTCACCAAGTTGCCCAGACTGGTCTCGAACCCGCGGGCTCAGGCAATCCCCTCACCTCAGCCTCCCAAGGTGCAGGATTACAGTCTGAGCCACTGAGCCCGGCTTGGCTGATTTTTTGTGGTGAAATATTTACATTATTTCCCCATTTTCTTTTGTATATATTCCATAGCTATTTTCTTTCTGGTTACCACAGAGATTACATTTAACATTTTACAGTTAGCTTCAGTAAAGTACAAAAACTCTGCTCTTGTAACAGCTTCTCACCCCTTTCAGTTGTTGATGTCACAAAATTACATTTTTATGTGATATGAACCCTAAAACATAAATAATTATTTTAAATGATTGGTTTCTTAAATTATGTACAAAAACAAAATGTGGGGTTACAAACCAATATTATAATACTATCTTTTAAGCTAATAATTTTTAAAAATGTATTAATTTTTTAAACAGTGTAGATAACTAAAAAACGGAGTTACATATCATCATTACGATAATATTAGTTTTTATAATTGTCCATGTATTTACCTTTACTGAGATCTTTACTTCTTCATACAGCCTCAAGTGTCCTTGCATTTTACTCTACAGGACTCCCTTGAGCGTTTCTTGCAGAAAAGTTCTAGTAGTAATTAACTCTCAGCTTTTGTTTATACAGGAATATGTTAATTTTTCCCTCACTTTTGAAGGGTGCTTTGCTGGATAGATTTTTTTTTTCTTTTAGCACTTTAAATGTATTGGTCTGCTGGTAATCTTATTGAGGATCCCTTGTATATGATAAGTTGCTTCTCTCTTGCTGCTTTCTCTGTCTTTGTTTTGTTTTGTTTTTAGTCAGGGTCTCACTTTGGTGCAGTGGCATGATCATGGCTCACTGCAGCCTTGAACTTGAAGGTGGAGGGGCACTGGTCCCTTAAATCTGCTGGGAGAGACTTCAGCTGGAGGAGGAGGGGCTTGGAATGATGTGGAGAGGTGCAACAACAATGGCTGTCTACCTCTTTGTCTGTACCTCTTTGATCAGAAGCAGTGATCAGAGCGCACATCCCTAAGTATTTAGGACAGGGTCTTTTGGCCCACCCTTGTTCCCACAAGTTGTGTGCATGTTACTTTAAGAACATATGCACAGCTGTCAGCCCCAGGGCTGGGGGTCCCCAGGTAACTGGAGCTAAAACTGGAATTAACTTCAGATTGCCATCCACACGTTCCTCTGGCAGTCCAGCCTTCAATAGATACTAGAGTTCCAAAATAGGACATCCTGACAGATTCTGCCTCTGTAGTTGTCTAGGTAGGAATACCGATACTTAGTATTTCCCACTCTGATGTCTTTCCAGAATCCTCTTCCCCTTGGAGTTTTTAACTCACAGACTTATCCACTTTGAATCTTCAGTGATTCATCAATTACAGTTTAGGTTTTCCTAACCTGGCTCTGTAACTTCCCCACAGTAACTTCCACTTGTGAGTTAAGCTGTGCCTATGTTTCACCTCCTGAGTTTCACCTCCCTTATGGCTCCAAGAAGAGTTGTTGATTATTCAGTCTGTTCAGCTTTTTCTTGTTTCTAGCACCAAGTGGTGACTTCCAAGCCCTTTACCATGCTGGCTGAACTGGCCAAATTCTTCCCTACATTTTCAGTATTGACAGACCCTCTCCCGTCAATTTCTGATCTGGGTGGTCCATGGGGGCTACTCTACCTGACAGTTATCATTTTATCCACAATGCTTACTATATAAATGTACTACTCTGTAATATATTTTCTCACTTGATTGTTTAAGTCCTTGAAATATTTCCCAATTATCTGTGGAGAAAATAAATTTGCAGTCAAGGACCCCTGTCTAATTCTGGTATTTTTTTTTTTCTTTAGAACTTGGAGAGTCTGGTGGCTCAAAATACCACTGGCCCTGTCTTTTACCCAAGGCTCTACCACCTGATGGCCTACGTTAGTATACTAATGGGACATGGGCAGAACTGTGACATGTTCCTGGACAAAGCCTTGCAGTTGTCTGAAAAACAGGGGAATGTGCTGGAGAAATGTTGGCTGAACATGAGCAAAGTATGAATCATCAGCTAGCGAGCTGGGTCAGGGAGGCTCACCCTTCCAAGGAAGCCTTAGAGCCTACTGCCTGGTTAGGTTGTACAGGCTTGGAAAGCAATTGTCTTAGTCTGTTCAGGTTGCCATGACAAAATATTGTAGACTGGGTAATTTATAAACAATAGAAATTTACAGCTCATAGTTTTGGAGGCTTGGGAAATCCAAGATCAAAGCACTAGAGATTCAATGTCTGGTGAAGGCCTCTTCCTCACAGACAGCATCTCTTGCAGTGGTTCTCATATGTCGGAAAGGTAGAAGAGGAAAATTCACTCCCCCTTGCCATTTTTTATAAGGGCACTAATATCATAGGCCCACCTCTTAATACCATCACCTTGGGGGTGAAGTTTCAACATATGAATCTGGGGGGGCTACCAACAGTCAGACCATAGCAGTCACCATAAGCCTTTCTGAATTCTTACCAAAAGGAGTGACAGGCCCATAGTTCAAGTCTGTGAGTCTTTTTTTCCCCTTTAAGTTCTCATGGCCCGTTTCTTCATCCAAATCCCTTTTAGCACAGTCTCTCCCTGTCCCTTTCTGTGGCTACTTTCCACTTTGTGTTACATTTATTTGCATGTCCTCTCCTTGAGAATGTGAACTCTTTGAAAGCAAAAGCCATACTTAGAATCCACACAGTGTCTTATACTCAGTTTTTGTTGAATAAGTAAATGAATGTACAATTGTATGTATTCATTTAAAGAGGCACTTGTCAGTGTCCTAGTTTGGTCAGTAAAATTTATTTTTTGTCTATGGGTTCATATTGTTTTAAAAGTTTAAGGACATTTTACCAGTTCTGGTATTGGACCAGTCTTGATTACACAAGTCAGGGGGCACTAATTATTTCTTTGTTCTCTTTAACCCCTTCTCAGGAATGGTGGCGCTCAAGCTTCAAGTTAACAGAAAACCAATGGCTTCAAACAATCTCGAGTCTCCCATTATGGGAAAAAGTTGTATCAGGCAAGGTAAACATTCAGGATGTTCAAAAAAACAAATTCCAGATGAGAGTTAATACCTTAGACAATCCTTCCTAACATTTCATGAAAAAAACAAAGACTTTAGTAAGAACCATGCCCAAATTATCCATTTGGGCTTTCTGTGTGGCCAAACCCTATAGGGCACCTATCTTCATTTTCTGTTCTAGACAAAAAAACCAGACATATTATTTTCTTCTCTTTCTGGACAGTCAAAAGGGATCAGCAATGTCATGCTTTATATTCTCCCAACTGTATAAATTGCCTGTTGTTTTAATTTCATGTTGTTTTAGCTTGACCTGTTTATTTTAGCCAATGTAAAATTGTATCATATGAGAAAATATTAATCTCAAGATGGAAAAACATCTTGTGTTGTGACACACACAGTTCTAGTTAGTGTATTAAACTGAAAATGTTTATTTCTAGATGTCCAGTTGTTAAGTCTTTTTGAAGTAGCACGATATTACAAATAGTAAACTTTTATCATGCTCTATATGGACAAGATTTGAAAAGATGCATTTCTGTCAGGCCCAAATGTCCTGGCTCCTCTAACCACATGTATCAAATATCTGTGGAAATAAATGTTTAAAAACTGAACTATTAATAATTTTGATGTGAATTTTTAAAAATCTATTTGGAGTTTGTATGTATGTTTTTACATTTAAAAAAAAAATAGCATTTATCTTTATTTCCCGGATGTAAAGGCAAGGCTGTGTATTTTTCCTTCTGATAACATAATTGAGTTCCACAAAAGAGAGGGTGGACAGACTCAGATGGCACCACAAGGTTAGCCACAGAGGCCTGGTGACCTGGTGTGGCAGGAGGAGCTCCAGACTAAGCAATCAGAACATGAGAAGCAATCCCTTCCACAAGCACACTCTACTCCAGTGGGTTCATCACATGGCCTCCTTATTTCCATGTCCACTTGTGAGAATCAGATAAGATAGGAAAGATAAAAAAGTGTTGAAAATGGCAATGTGCCATGTAAGTAAAAGTAAATTTGTATTAGATGACTGATTCTAAAATAAACACATGAAATACTAAAACTCAATTAAGTATCATCCCCTTCAAAGTGTCATCCTAGAAGCTGTGTATTTGCTCCAAGCTGCTACATAGAAATGTCTTGCTTTCGAATTGCCTTCATTGTTTTGCACATTACTTATCTTATTTTCTCATTTATTCATTTTCCGACTAATAGCCATGTACTCAGCACTGATTAAGTGCTGGGGATTAGGATACAAAGATGAAAGGCCCAATTCTTGACCCCAGCAAGCTCATAAGTGCAGTAGAAGAAACAGACACCCTTCACCCATTCCACTGTAATATGCTAGGGCTGGTTCAGATCGTGCAGAGCATGGTGGAAAGCATGGCACAGACAAACCCAGGTCTCTTGAGACTTAGCTGAGCTGCCTCTGAAACTAAGTCATTTTGATTATGTGGTCAGATTAAGCCAATGCCTTCATTGTAGCAGTTCCTTGCATTTGTACAACTCTTTACAGATACATAGAGTTTTGGGGTCTGCCCTTCTCCCTGCAACTCTGAGGTGAGGATGGCGGGTGCTGTGGCCTGCCCAAGGGCATCTAGCTAGAACCTAAACCCGGAAATTGTGTCCCCTTGTCCAAGCAGGTTCAAGTCCACTTTTCTGGCTTTCCATGTGTGCTTCTGCAAACCATCAGGAGACAGCACTTTCTGTCTCAGATAGCTTTGACTGTCACCCAAGGATTCAAATTCTCTTTGGCTTCCATAAAATGGACCTAGTTCTATACTTTGGAATCATACAGAATAGGTTTAAGCTTCTTCCTCATGACCCTTCAGACCTGAGCATACCTCCCATGGTTCTTGAGTCTTCTCTCAGCTAAATATCTCCAGTTCCTTCCGCTTCTCTTCCCATCACCTGGTTTAGTATTTCCTCAGGATCCTGTCACTTGACTCTGAATATACTCAAATGCGTCTCTATTTATTTTATATATGAGTTATAGATTGGCCAGTCTGGAATATGAGGACACTCTCGCTTCTTTTTTTCTACCTAGGAAAGTCTTATTAAAACAGATCACGCACCTTCACTTTTTTGGCGGCCACTTGGAGTCACTTTGGACATATCCCAACTGACTAGAAGTAAATCCCAAATTGGCCAGCTCAACTGTAATCCCAGCACTTCAGGAGGCCGAGGCGAGTGGATTGCCTGAGCCTGCGGATTCGAGACTAACCTCTTGCAACTTGGCAAGACCTCGTCTCTTAAAAAAAAAGAATTTGAAACATCCCTATGTACAGAAGCAGATCAGGAAGTACTAGTCCTTGGTGCTATCAACTTCTCCCCACCATGTACTTACACGGCTCGTTTTTCTACCTTAAAGAGAACAGATGGTGCAGAGAAGCCCACTGTGCTCTGCCATTAGCCAGTGAGACAGAAGTAAACTAAAATCAGACATGTGTCTCAATGCTGCTGGGCAAAGGAAGGTAGGCCTTTGGGCACACTCTGGGGGGTGGCCTTTGTCGCTAGGAAATGCCTTCTTTGTAGGTTACACTTCTTTCTTCTCTTAAATGTTGACACCCTGTGTTAGGCCTTCCTGGTTGTAACTGCAGGGAGTGATGAGGATGGAGCTCTCCCGGTTACCGCTTTGCATTGCTCGAAGGGGACAGTACTCTGAGGTTCTGCCTCACCATCTTAGCCATGCTCTGCTGTCCCACAGCTGCCCACAGGCCTAAGTCTCAGCCCACCCTCGTGGTCTTTGTGGGCTGCAGGCAAGTGTCATATTTTCTGTAGCCCTGAAGCTTCCTTGTGATTTTGGTTCTATGGGTAGACAGTGCTAATGAGTTTGAGGGTTTCTGAAACTACGTTTATCTCCCAAATTACTAAAAAACTAAAGCATACCATACGCCTGTTACAATGCCCAAAATCCAAAACATTGACAATACCGAAGGCCAGCAAGGAGGTGGAGCAACAGGAACTCTCACTCATTGCTGCTGGGAATATACAATGGTATGGCTGTTTTCTCTTTTTTTTAATGGTTTTTATTTTAAAGATGTGGGGTGCAATTTAGGATTAGGTGTACAAATGGACATTAAACAAGTAAAGTTTGGGCCTCCCTTTGATCCCCAGTTTGCCTGGTTTGAGATTAGGTACCCTAATTGATGTTGTGCCAACCCCACTCCCACCCCGGCAGTATCCTGCCATGCCAGTCCCTTTTTTATAGTATTATGGTAAATGTCCAGGGTCTGCTTATGAGTGAGAAAATGTGGTACTCTGTTGTTTCTGTGATACATCACTGAGTACTATTGATTCTAAATCCATCCAAGTTGCTGTGAAGTCCATAGATTTGTCCTTATTTATGGCTGCATAATATTCCATTGTGTATATGTACCACATTTTTTTTTTATCCAGTCCAGTTTCAATGGGCAGTCTGGTTGGCTCCATGTTTTTGCTGTTGTGAATAGTGCTGCAATAAACATGCATGTGCTGGTATCTTTTTTGTAGAATGATTTGAGTTCCTCCAGGTATACTCCCAGTAGAAGGATTGCTGGGTCATACGGAAGGTCAATATCTAGTTCTTTTGGAAATCGCCACACTGTTTTCCATAGAGGATGACCTAGTTTGCATTCTCACCAGCAGTACCAAAGAGTTCTCTTTTCTCCCCGTCCTCACCAGCATCGGTTGTTGTTTGTTTTATTAATGATGGTCATTCTTACTGGGGTTAGGTGGTATCTTAATATGGTTTTGATTTGCATTTCTCTGATGATTAGTGAGGCTGAGCACTTTTTCATGTGTCTGTTGGCTGCCTGTATAACTTCTTTTGAGAAGTGTCTATTCATGTCTTTTGCCCACTTTTTAACAGGCTGTTTGTTTTTTTCCTTTTGGCACGTTTGAGTACCTTGTACATCCTGGATGCTAGGCCTTTGTCAGAAATACAGTTGGCAAATATTTTTTCCCATTCTGTGGACTGTCTCCCTGCTCTCTTGATGGTTTCTTTTGCTTTGCAGAAGCTTGTCAGTTTAATGAGTTCCCACTTGTCTATCTTATCTCTTGTGGCATGGACACCTGAGGTTTTGACCAGGAATTGGTTGCCAGTTCCAGTTTCCATAAGGGTGTCTCCTGTGTTTTCTAAGATTCTTATAGTTTGAGGTTTTATGTTTAGGTCTTTGATCCATTTAAAATTGGTTTTTGTGTATGATGATAGGTAGGGGTCCTGTTTCAATCTTCTGCATGTGGTCAGTCAGTTTTCCCAGCACCAGTTACTGAATAGGTTCTCCTCTCCCCAGTAGTTGTTGGTAGAAGCTTTGTTGAAGATGAGTTGGTTGAGGAATTGAGGTTTTGCCTCTGGAATCTCTATCCTGTCCCATTGGTCTACATCCCTGTTCTTGTACCAATACCAGGCTGTTTTGATTTATGTAGCTTTACAATAAAGCTTAAAGTCTGGGAATGTGATAACTCCTGCTTTTTTCTTTTTTTGGCTGAGGATTGTTTTGGCTATTTGTGGTGGTTTATGTTTCCATATGAATTTCTGTAGTCATTTCCAGGTTTGAGAAGAATGATGTTGGTAATTTAATGGGTGTTGGGTTGAATCTGCAGATTGTCTTTCATAGGATGGACATCTTAACAATGTTAATTCTTCTTTTCCATAAGCATGGAATATTTTTCCATTTGTTTGTGTTATCTTTGACTTCTTTGAGCAGTGTTTTGTAGTTTTCATTGTAAAGTTCTTTCACTTCTCTGGTTAGGAAGATGCTGAGGTATTTAATTTTGTGTGTGGCTATTGTGAATGAGATTGTGCTTTTTATTTGTTCTCTGCCAGTTTGTTGTTGGGGATAAGAATATGACTGTCTTTTGCACTTTTATTGTGCACCCTGATACTTTCCCAAAGTCCTTTATCAATGCAAGGAGGTTTTTGGCAGATTCTCTTGGATTTTTGAGGTATAGGATCATATCATCAGCAAAGGGGGATAACTTAATTTCTTCTTTTCTGATTTGGATACTCCTGATTTCCTTCTCTTGTCTAATTGCTCTTGTAGCACTTCTAACACAATGTTGAATAGGAGGGGTGAGAGTGGGATGCCTTGTCTTGTTCTTGTTTTCAGGGAAAATGCTTCTAGTTTCTGTCTATTTAGCAGTATGCTAGCTGTGGGTTTATAGTAGATGACGCTTACTATTTTGAGATATGTTCCTTCTATGCCTAGATGTCCAAGGGTTTTTATTAAGAAGGGATGCTGGATTTTATCAAAGGCTTTTTCTGTATCTAATGATGTAATCATGTGATTCTTATTTTTATATTTATGGATGTATTTAACTACGTTTATGGTCTTTTGGATGCTGAACCAGCCCTGCATCCTGGGGATGAAGCCTCCTTGGTGATATGGTCACTTTTGGAGACAGTTTTACAGTCCCTTTCTCCCTATCCTTTCTTCCTTTCCTCCCTCACCTTCCCTCTCTCCCTTTTTTCTTTCCTTTCTTTCTCTCTTTCCTTCCTTTCTCTCTCTCTCCCTTTCTTCTCCTCCTCCCTCCTTCCCTTGCTCCCTTTCTCTCTTTCTTTCCTTCTTGGGGTCCTCCTATGTTACTCAAGCTGACCTCTGCTCAAACTCCTGGATTCAAGAGTTCCTCTTGC